TGATACAAGCTGTGAGGCAACGCAGCAATGCAGGCTGAAGCTCCTCAGTTCCACCTGCAAATCTGTGTTTGCTGGTTGATGTAACATTTGAAAGCAGAACACAGCATAAATCACAAAGTTTAAAAAAGAAAACTGAAGAATTATGGCCAGGGTAGAGGAGTGGTGAACACAGGAGCCAACCTGGTAATTCTTGAGGAGCTCAGCTGTAAGTCAGAGCACTGAGTTGCTGGCTGTCCGGTATAAATTCCCAGCTGACACAAAACACAGACAGCAAGTAAAATTTGGGGGTTGAGGTTGTTGGCAGCACCTAAACATCAAATCTATGAACCAAATGCCTTCTGTGAGGTTGTAAATAGTCATACCCGAACAGTTTTAGCCATAGCAGACAAGGGACTAGACTTTTAGAAGTCTGTCACTTCCTAAATTATTCCTGTATACTTCCAGAAACAAACCAATTGTTTGTTTGTTAAATGAACCTCACTCTTGAAAACCTGAAAGGACAGAAAGCTTTGCTCCTAAAATCAAGATCCCTTTGGCCCTCCTTCTTACGAACCTCCTATTATAAATAGCCAAAATACCTAGAAATACACGATTCCACATAACCACAGAGTAGAGGGAGACTGTGTCCCCCACCCAGGAGACACAAATTTCCCTCACAAAAAGTCTCATCCTACCCAGGCTCAGAAGCTGGTGATGCAGAGTGTGGCATTACCTTCTTTCTCTGTCACAGGCAGCCTGTGTAACTCTGTTAGGTATAATCAAAGGTTTACAGGTATTTAAATACATAACTCCCACTGACTTCAGAGGCAAGTAAGGTCCTCATAACTCTGAGGATCCGAGTCTGTGCCCCTCGAGATTATATCTGGTAAACCAAGGAAACAAAAACCAATTTACAACAGAGTATAACCGTATGGTGATCAGGCCACAAACTGCCATTCACTGAAATAGTGCAGGAATCAAGCACATCCTGGACAATGCATAAAATACCCGATTTTGAAACTGATTTCTTTGTTATAGGTCTTTCACTGCTATTCAACTATTGGCACGAAAAGTCACAGACAAGTCGTGAAAAGTAATTTCAATTACATCCACAATCCAAACATTACAGAGAAAATGAGGGCTATCGTGAGCTTAATTGGACTTCACATAAATGCCGAAAAGCCCTCCCTGTGTACTTTTCATTTCCTGTTGGCAGGAAGCACAGATTTGAGAATGAGATGAAGAAAACACACACCTTCTACGTGATGCAAAAATCTGAATTAGAATGTACTCAATAAACTATCGTGCTTAGCTTTCATTCCAGTTTCCTGCAGAACTTTGCACAGTGAGCACCACAGCTGCTTGCTGTCTTGGCAGCATCAGAGACAGCTTCTGGGGTGCCCTTCTGTTTTCATACTCCGTACTGTGAAACAAGCCAGCAACAGTATGCTGTGCCAGCCAGAATGCAGTGAACTGTCAGGGATCCTGCTCGAATGCTGCAACCCATCCAGAACCCTAAGCAGTGACCAGGACTCCAGCTCAACTATTTTACATTTCATTCATAGCTTTTTCTTGGGTAATGTAAAAATAAATGGAAGATAATTATGAAGTAAACAGCCCCCTTTCCAAGGACAATACTTCAAAAGGCATATGATCTACCTTCAAAAACTCCTAAGGATGATTCATGTGATGATCCGTGCAGTAACTAAAATGCTAGCTAATTCTCAAAGGAAAATATTTCAGTTAATTAATTTACTTTTTTTTTCAATTTGTAGCATTTGTTTAGCTTGATTCATATCACATCTCCAGTTTTGAGGCAAAATCATAAATCATTGCATTGGCACAACTGTGGGTGTGATAAACACTATCAGGAAGTGGGAGGGGGTAGATTGAGCAGTGAAATTCCCACTGTCCTCAAATGCTCTTACCAGAGGAACTACAGTGTGGAGTGGCACACTGTGTCTGGCACTTACCCCTGGTCACAGCATATACGTGGCCTTCACACAAATCTAGACCAGATTTCTACCTGGTTTCATGAATTGGTCAATCATAATATTCCATTTGCCTGATCTGCACCAGTAGGTGTGTATATGTGAAGGGTGGATGAAGTCCAGGCATTCCAAGTCCAGGCACAAGATGCAGATGTTGAACTTAGTTTTGTGTGGCTTTGGCTGAATTCCCCTTCAATTAGAGACAATGAGCTGGAAAAGAACTTAACTGACAAAAAGTAGCTGAGTTGTGTGCTTTGAGTTAAATACACGCTAAATACAGCACATGAGATGCATAATATCCCTACTCTAAAGAAATATGTTTTTACACCATTCTTTTACATATTCCCCATAAATCAACCATCCCTGTTTCAGGTTAACTAATGCTTTTTTTGTGAACTTTCCCTCCCTATGCTATCAACACACAGCATAGCTGGGGCATTTCTCAGTTTATGCTCGTGCAAGTTGCAGTTGGACATATGCTCATACATGCAGCTGGACAATTTCCCTTCCACCTCCTTCACGGGTTCTGCCTTGCTGCATTATTCTTCATCTTCCTGTCACTGCAATGCTTGGTGTGGAAGCATTACACTTGTCAGGGCTCAGCAAGAATAGATCTCTGACTTATCTGAGGCTATTGCTAAGGTAGGGTTTGAGTCAAAAGCTGCTGCTCATTGAAGGAGAGCAGACTGGTAGCTAAAAATGAAGAGGAGAAGGGAATGTCAATGGTTTGTCACTAATTAGTCATGAGATGACTTCTCAGCTCCATTTATTTTGCCTGTAGTTACCTCAAATGCAGTGGGCAGGAAGTCTTTGAGAAGAGCTCAGGAAATCTGACATGCCTGTCAAATGGCATCTTACAATAATCATGGGTATGATTACGGGACTGCTGCATACAGTCAGAAACTAAGGTGTCATGTTTAAGGATATTTCTGTTTTTGTCAGAGAGATGAAAAGGTAACAGTGAGGGGCTGTGAGGATGGGTTAGAGAGCTGGACAACAGAATAAGAAGAGGCATAAACAAGCACAGAGCCATCCACACCAACTCCCATATTAATGGCACGTAACAGAGACCATCATCAGAGACACTGGTTCACTTGCCAGAAAACCCTGGGAAGTGTTCAGCAGGGCTGTTCAACACTGGTGAGACTGATGCTAACCTTCTGAGAGCACACTGAAGAGGAAGTGTGTCCCATCACAGCAGTACTGCACAGCTCACCAAGGAGGAAGCTCAGCATGGCATTATGCTTGCTAAAGGCCTTCCTACACAAGACTACTGACGTTGCTAGGATAACTGCAAGTCAACAATGTCTGCTGGTTTTATGGTATGCAAGTTTAATTCTTTAACTTTAGGAGGAGTATGAAGTTCTGCTCTGCTATTGAACTTACAATTTATGGTCAAAGGCAACCAGGATGGCTAGGTTTCTTGTAGGATTCGTCATCCAGGGCAACACTTGTCCTGCTCCGAGGAATGCCTTGAATACCTCTGCAGTAACAATAGGTATATCCTCTCTCTGTAAATCACCTTAGATTTTTATCACAGATTTAACTGTTCAAATGTGTGTCTTATAGATCATAAAGCAGTGTCACAATTGAATTATCAACTTTGATACTCATTCAGTAACAATTTAATTTTTCTTCAAGAATGGGACACCCTATAGGACTCTTGGGTTCCCTTGAAACATCTCAAAGCCAAAACAAAGAACATGATTTCTGCAAAATGCTGTGATAATCCAATGCCTTGTATGAATCAATGGCACAGAAATTAACAGACCAACATACCTGTTGATAAACACCTCTCTCTCCACAGCAGTGTTTTAAAGGTCATTATTTGCCATGGTTAACTATCTAAGTATTTTGGTGGTTCTGAAAGCAGAATGCTTTACAACAGAATACATTTACAAGTATCAATATCCTCTTTAGCTTAAAAGCGTATTGGAGTTTTGAGGTTACCATACCAGAAATGCTGGTGGCAACATTTCTCAGGTCTCTAATAACTTCTGCTGTTAGCTGCTTCTAGCTGCTAATATTATTGTGTCCTTAGATTATTTTGAGCAAACAATACTTGACTGCAATTCTAATTTGTCATTTGTCATTTTTTCTAAATTATTTAGCCAAAAATATCTAAATGCTACTCCTCTGTATCTTTCAAAGAACATCAATACCAAATGTGCTTACCACAGATCTTAGGCAACCCTTGACGCATGCGTTTAGAGTGGTGCTCCCTTCAGTCTGGCTCCAAAGTTAAAGCATCTGAAGTGTAAATTGTGTGTGACACAGCCAAGGAAACCCACTTTACTTTAACCTTGTTAATGGCGAGCCAGATGGAACTGCTGAGGCCACCCATTGTTCGGGTTTGCATTTTTGTGTAATGCCATGGTGTAGGTCTGTAGGGCCTCATGAATTCCTCTCCTCTGAATATATACTGTGCCGTTGAAGGCATTGAAAGGATCAAGCTCTGCTCTGAGAGCAGCTGGCTTTGTATTTTTTAATGGTTGTTAGCAGCAGCAGCAGGTCCATTCTACTCCCCTATTCTCCCCGTGCCCTTCTTAAAATCCTGATCTGTCGGTTCTTGAGGGAAACCAAACCCTAACTCTGACCTATGTAGCAGATCATACATTACCTCAGGTTCACTGCCCCAAATATTCACCAAAAGTCTGATTCTCCCTCTCTTACAGCCTCAGACCCTGCCCCAGCAGTTCTTAGTCACACATATAATCATCACTGACTTTATCAATACTCAGGTTATAATTTCTTTCCTACCAAAGCCAGGTAACACGTGACTGCGTAATTTTTGTTCACGATCATCGTCTTCTGAAAATTTGATCAAATTTCCCTGTCTTGACCCCTTTAGTGCCCTTAGGATGAAAATAGAAGCAAGAGGAGTTTCAGTAAAGACAGGCCGCAGGAGAGGACTCAGACTGAGAAATAATGGGATGCTTGCAAGTTGTTACACTCCAAGACCCATTTGTACCGTGCTTGTGATGTAGCAGATGATGTCTCACAATGCTTGTGCCATGATGCAGCATCATTCCAGTTGTGGTGCAAGATATTGTAATTTTGGGAGAGGAAAGTACTGTTCTCCCGGTCTACTCCAGCTGTGGTACGTGCTGTTCTGAACAGGATTGAGAAAAGCACAAAGCTATCCCTCCAGCCCTTCCTCTCCAATGGGCCAGCCATCAGGAAACCAAACCGCACCTCAAAAAAAAGGAGGCTGCAGCCAGAAGTTACTGAATTGTACCATCAAGCACCAAACAGTGTGTCACTCTCTTTGCCAGAGAACTTTGACATACTGGCTCCTGAAAACAGTGCAGTTGCATAACTTGTAATGGTATTAGGGGGGTGCTGCAAACAGTTACTTGTTGTTACTGAAACTACGCAGAGGCTTTTGCAACACTGAGGCTGATCAGGCTACTAAAAGAGCTTAGAAGCCATAATCAATACTTTAGAGCAAATTCCCTGACCTGTTCAAAGTGACTTGCTTTTGCACTACACTGGCTGAGTGAGGAAGGAGAGGAAATCCCACTACCAGATCCGACATGTTACTTATTGAAATATATTATATCCCTGCCATTCCCAGCTGGTTTGTGTGCCTTTAGGAAGAGAAGTCATCAAGCATCTGAAGCTTAGCAGCACTGAGCCTGCTCTAGCACAAACTGGAGTAAGGTGTCAAGGACCTGACAGTTTCTGTTATCTTCTTTCCCCAAACTGCTCTAGATCTGTCAGGAAGAGCAGCTTCCACCATCCTACATGATCCCCAAACTCAGAAAAGTGCCAGTCAAACGCCTTCCTGGGGTTCCTACGGCCTGACAGAAGAGCTTTGGGGCAACCATGGCTGGCTGCAAAAGGGGAAGACCAAACAACCCAAATGTTCCCCAATGACCAAGGGGAACCACAGCAGACATACCAACAGGAAAGGCAGGACATGATAATCGCTGCTTTCCCCCACAAATGTCAAGTTTAAATTCTGTCCATCACCCTTTTATCTTTTACATAAACAGTAGGGTGCAACTTAGGAAAGTGATTTTTAACTTGAATATTTCTTTAATTTGGTTGTCCTTAAAGACTGCCTAGATGGTATGAGGTGGCTCAGTGGGAGACGCTGCACAAGGCACAGCACTTTTATACTCACTGTGTTGTTAAAAACATTTCTAATTCCAAATAACAAATTATAGGGGAGCATGGGGAGGTTAAAACCAAGTGAAGCTCTTGGGCTCAGTAAACTATTTTTTACCAATTTCAGAGTTCATGTGGTAGACCTTCTTTTAACTGATAAATTTTCCTTGCACATTGTAACAGATCCTTTTTGAAGATAAGACTACTTTTAGTACATTTCCATCATCTAAGAAAATAATCTAATTAATAAAATATCATACAAGGTACAATAATAAAAATAAAGCACAATTTGCAACTGATAAACTAACATTGCGCTTCATCCACTTCTTATAATTTTCCCATGTCTTCCCAGGATACAAGGTTGTCATACATATTTTGAGATTGGACTGGATTGATTGCCATTGCCTGCAGTTCTTATGTCCTTTTTTCATGAGCATTCTTTAGTCCTAAGTCCATATCCCAAAGTAAAAGCTGTTAATAACCCTGGGCTGATGTGACGCTCAGTACTTTAGCACCCTAGGATGGAGATTATACGCCCCCCTTGATTTCAGCATGTTAAGCTTCCTTGAAGCTTTGTTTCTTTCAGAGGCAGCTGTCTGCATTTCCATACCTTACCCTGCCTCTTGCCACCAGTTTAAATCACATACGTATCAGTTAGAAAAAATAGCTGCAAAATTATTTTTCCTATGAAGCCTTGTAGGATTAATTAGTTCAGCTAGTAACTTTCCTCCAATGATGACGATAAGAAGAAAACCATGAGCCATCTTATATAAAGGGAAGTCATCAATAAATCAGGACTTTAGTTGCCAGTACCACACTGAATAACATTAATATCACCGTAGAGCTTTACCATAAATTAATATCTTAAAAATGAACTGACTGTTTGTTTGTTTTTTTATGACACCTGTTTAATTTTCTTGGTAACTGAGAGTGATTGAAAGATCTGCAGTAAAACTAATTTGCTATCTCGACATTGCAAAATAATTTTATAACTTACTTTTATCCTTGATCAGCATTTATGAATGCTTTAAAAACTCACGGATTCCTAGAAAAGACTAGAAAAACATGCATATCTGGAAATATCAGGGAATATATGTTTTCCTTTTTTTGGAAGCCTGGAAAACACAACATTGAGCGGTTTGTATACTGAATTTTACAAAGTTACTGACACTTAGGTCTACCTTTCAGCATTACAGTACTACTAACTTTAAGTGCTGATTTTATATAACCATCCCATTTAGTGAGAAAATTTCCTGTGAAGAACTGTCATTAAGAAATGTGAAACAGTAACTTCTTGCGCATGACATAAAAACACTCTATAATTGATGCATGTGGTAAAATCAGATGGAAAGAATATGGTTTCTGCTACTGTATGTGAAGTTTATGTTAGCCTTTAGCTTGTCACAGAGAAAGCAGGCTATAATTTTAGTACATTTAAGTTCCAAAGCAAAACTCTGAGACTGTAACACACTTAATATGATTGATGTGAAATAGCAAAACACTACAACAGGAAATGCTAGTTTTAGTACATATTGCCAATTGTCTTCACATCATTCACAGCACTTCACACTAATGCAACAGAAGCAGGAAAAAAATTAAACAGATTGCTTAGCAGAAGCTGGCAGGGAAGGAAGAGAGCTGAGATGACACCACAAGCTGACTCCTCCAAGCCTATTGCTTGCATTTTGCAAGTTTTGAGGAGCAGCTGCGGAAAGGCAGGAAGGGAACTGAGAAATGACCACTGCATACATGCTGCTCTGCTATACTAAAACTAGAAGTTAACACTGAATTGAGCCTAATCACTGCATCTTTGAAAGGCTGCTCTCCAACCCCACAGGGATGTCAGGCACAGAGCTGAGGAATGCTGCTTACCTTCCCAGTCAGTCACCAACTTTCTGATACTGTACAGTTTCATAGACAAGTTAATGGTGTTGTGGCACCAAAGCATCTAAAATAGGTATGATTGCTTTTTGCATCCTGTTTTCTTTCCCTGGCCAGGGAAAACACAAGCTGCAGCCCTGTGAAAACCACAGACTCTTGTTCTTCTGGGGAACTGTGTGCAGCGGGATCTGATACTTCAGATCTGCCTGGCAATCCGACAGCAGAAGCTCAAATAGAAAAAACCTTGCCTGGCACATTCCCCAAACTCTGCGAGGTCTTGCTGATGCCTAATTACACCTCTGGCCTTTTGGAGGCCAAACCCAACTCCCTGCTGGGTTTTGTGTTCCTGACACTTTCCTCCTGTGAACCCCGCTGGCTCTTAAATCACCACCTGCCACCAGTGAGGGCAGACTTTGTATCACGCTTACTACAAGGTCCAAAAAGCTGCCGCCACGTTGCAGGGAATGTCTCCGCCACATTAAGCAGAGAGCACAACATGTTTCATGCAGAGCTGCCAGTAGGGTTTCTTACTCCAGATAAACCCACCGAATGCAGAGCTGTTACCAAGAGTCATCCCCCGCTCTGTCACCTCTCTATCCATTTGCTTCTCAGTACCTTTTTTTGCTGCAGGAGTAGTTTTTTCTCAGTTAAAACTCCCTGAACTGGTTCTCTGTGGAATTAGATCAGCACCAGTGACCCTGTGGGGAGAGGAACACAATGCTGGTTGGGGGTCCAGGGGGGCCACAGCCCCTCATATTTTGAAGCTGTACCCTGACAGAGACCTGATTTCAGAGTCAGGTAGCAGCATCCATTTCTTTTAAAGTCACAGTTTCCCTGCAGGAAGAAATAGTAAATAGGGACTCAGTCTGTTAACGCTGTCCAGAACCTAGGAGATTCCCATTTCTTCAGCTTGTATAGCACAGTGCAGAAAAATCAACAACAGCTAAAAAACCTCATATGCTTTATACATCAACCTAGAGCAGCACTGCTTTCTGAAATTTAAATTCATTTCAACGGTACCTCTCTAACACGCTGAAAGGCATTATTTGTCAGTCATACACACAAAAAATATCTGTTAGATTGTGAAACACAGTTCTGGCTCCAGAATTTTGCTGCAGCTGGTGGGGAGAGTTTTGTTAACCAGACATAGTTAAACACCAGCTGTGTGTCCCCAGGGAGTTTCAGCATGTAACAACGAAAGCCCCAAAACCCATCTATGTATTTACGGACACAGGCAGGAGATACAGAACCAGTTGCTGGAAGTTTATACGCTAGATATTCTGTATCTATGATTTACAAGCACATACAAAGGGAAAAGAAATCTCAGGATGTTCAATGCCTACAATAACCTAGATGTACTCATTTACTGCACATTCACGAACACTTATGGATGCAAAAAAATTTTAAGTTAACTCGCAAATATGAAGGAATCTGTCTTGAATCCCCTTGAGAATGAGTATGGCCTGGGGTTGGGCCAAGGTCATATCTGTAGCTTCTCCGTTTTTGACTTTCTTCCAGAGAGGTTTTTTTCCCTTGAAGAAAGAGACTGCAGCATATGCAGAATTAACTTACTGGCACATTCTGCCCAACAGGTCTCTAGGGCTGTGTCTATTCCAGCATCCTCAGGAGAATACTCCTGGCCCTGTTGCTTGATCTCAGCAGTCTCAGCCTGTGGGTGTGTTTAGCAGTATCATGAGCGTTGCCTGTCTGAAAACCAAGCGGAGAAATTTTACAAGTGTCTGTCTTTTCTCAGAGAGCACCGTGCAGCCCATCCACTCCCAGGAGGGGCCACCCTGGACTCCAGCCACAGCACACCCACAGGGAGCCTGGCTGTCAGTGCTAAGCCACTGCCCCACCAGATTCCAGTGCAGCTGGAATGAAGCTGTGGCACATGCCTTCATTTGTGCTGGTTTTCACAGATAATACACATCCCAGGAACAGAGTGTCTGGGGCCCCTGGGCAGGTACAACAGAGTGAACACCCAACCTGCCCTGGCAAAGAGCTGTACCCCAGCCAAGCAGAGCCCTGCCGAGCCATGCACCCTGGACCACAAGTGCAAAGCACTCAGCTACAATCTATGCTGTTCTCTGTCTCTTGATCAGCTTGCAGCTGATCCATATTTGGTATTCCACTTCCTCTGAATCACGTGATATATGCACTTTAAAGCTTCTCTATTACTCACCTTTTCCTGAGGGGAAAATAGGCTCAAAAGGAAAGCGAGCACTACAGCCTGCCTGATTCAGGGCAAAAGTATGCTGAAGACCTGTCTGCAGACACTGGTAATCATCAGTCCACAGAAAGCATCAGGTCAGAAGCAGCCCTGCCTCCATCTGCCATGAAGAGGTGAATGCTGCTCACCTGCCACTTCTTATTCAGTCAGCCCCAGTCCCACAAACTACCTAGTTCATAACCAGCAATCCCTTTCACCAAATTTCCTTCCCATCTCACCCCCACCTTCACTTTGGTCCTGATTCTGCTTCTATTCGTCACTTTTAGCTTTTACGTACTGGTAGGAATGTACCATTTCAGAGGTCATAGCTGGCTACTTCAAAGAAATAAGGATTTTTAAACTGACGAACTATCGTTTAATAAACTAGTGCCTTTTTTAAAAAAAATCTCACCATATTTGTTTTAAATAATAGTAATAAAAAAGACACATAAGCCTGTCTCTGTGGAATGTTTGTTTTTTTTAACTAAATGAGAATCCACTTTAAGAAAACATTTCCAAGTTTAATGAAAATGGATTTATATGCCACGCACAAACTGCAGTGCTCTACAATGTAACATAATATGCAAGCTTAAGCAAATTTACCACTTGCTACCATAGAAGGGGAACATGGTGGTATCCCATTCACAACACAGCATCTCATTATAGCAGTCAGATGTTTCACTACAGTGATTAGTGCGCATATGCATACAGTGTCACAATTAATTTCCAGTACTAATACCACCTTCCTATACTTATTCACTGAGAGTCTCAAAAAGAATCTGTAATGCAAGAATTTTTTGCAGGTTTATGAAAACTCT